CAAGAGGGCCAAGGCAATCGGGGCAAGGGGTTCCCCACGATGTTGTCAGAAGAACCCTTGCTCTGATAGGCCGGGAGAGGCTTGACGGTTGTGCGACTTGCCCCACCACCCAACTCTCCTTGAACGGAGAGCTGAGCTTGCTCACCTCAAGCCCAGCTAATTCATGGCTGGCCACTACCATCCTGGCACTGTTTCTCCTTCTCCTTCTCCGCCACTCATGTTTTCTAATCTCCTGCAGCAGCATCTCACCAGGCAGCAGCTACTCAAGTAAGCTGCAGCAGAGGAAGATGGGATACAGGGCCATTCCAGCAACTGTGTTGAATGCCTCCTCCCTCAACTACTGCGAGACAGTAACCACTGTCCCAACCAGTGGATGGGAAGCTGAGAAACTTCAGCAGCGTGGAAGACTCTCCAACAACATCCTCCTCTCTCTGAACCATTTCCATTCCAGCTGTTCAATATAATAATCCTGGGTTTACTGGTGCCAGGGTGCCCAGTGATGTCTGGGTTTGCTTGTTTTCTTCTTCCTTCCTCATTCCTTCTTCTAGATTTTAGGGCAATTGGTTGTAAACAAGCTGCTCTGAGAGCCCATTTGGCTGAAAATGGGATTAAATGCTTACTTTTAAAAAAGTAAAGAAAAAGAAACACTATGAAGCAGGATTAGGGACTGACAGGGGCAATGGAGAGTTAAGTGCTTCAGGCTCTTGTCCAAAATATCCAGTTTCTGGCTCCATGCAATATTTGCCTATAGATGATGCTTGGATTTAACATACCATAATATATTTTAAATGGTTGCCTTTGAACTTGTCCTTATCAACAGTAAGAATTTAGTCCTACGCTAACTTATGTTCAGCAATGTAGCGCATTGTTTCTGAATTGTTTACCATTAATATTGTATTTAAAACAAAGTGTGCACAAAGCATTAATGGGAAACAAGGTTAAAATCAGCAAGCATGGCTGGCATCTTGCACTTTCCCACCATGTGGGGAACTACTGGCTGCCCCATATTCCTTAGCAATATACAAGCAAGTGTCATAAGTAACCTAAGAGTACCAACAAAGTCTTTGCTTTTGTTGCAAAATATTTCCAGTCCAGTGGAAATATTAGAGAGAATGACTGGAAATACTGGAACAGCATGGAATCACATGCCACTGAATACCACAAGTGGATAGAAATTGAGCAAGCACATTGAGGCAGAAATCAGCAGATGATAAACCAAGAAATTTGTTGCAGAGGAGGGCAGGATGTGCTCCAATGGAGCCAAGCTCAGGGAACCAAGGTTCAGTTTGGATGCCAGGAAGCACTTCCTGACAGTTGGGACCCCGAGGGTGTGGAATGGGCTCACATGGGAGGTGGTTGAGGCTCCACTGGGGAGGGTGTTCAAGGATAGGCTGGACATGTACATGGTGGGCATGTCATGAGCGGGGCTGGCTGGAGCCGGGGATCAGACTAGATGGCCCAGGAGGGCCTTCTGACTCGCTCTGTTGCTATGCTTCTGTGCTTCTATGTTTCGAAATTCAGCAATGAAGAATTGTGCTCTAGCACTTCACAGATACCGTACTGTTTCTGGTGGCATAACATCTTGGCATTCCTGTGTTCTTCAGACAAGGTGTTCACAGGTAACAGTGAGAATGCTATCTATCTATCTATCTATCTATCTATCTATCTATCATCTATCTATCTATCTATCCATCCATCCATCCATCCATCCACCCACCCATCCATTCATTCACCAGTGTTTGTGACCACCTCTATATCTACACAGATTCCCAAGTGGTGAACAGTGACAAGTGAAAACACATAAAAGAATAAAAGCAACATACTGAAAACAATTTGATGTACAAGGAGAGGCTGGCTGACAAATATTACAAGGGCACTGGAGTGCATTCATGGAATGTGTCTTCAAAGGTGTACCCTGTTCACTACAGTGGGAAAACCATTCAGAATGAACTGATAACTCTCATGGCATGGGTAGTGTTGGAGAAACCATGAAGCAGGTGGAATGAAGCACTGCTCTTTCATACTTAGGTTTAAACATAAGATGTCAATCAGCCTGAGAAGATGATGTTCACAATGAGGTTTTTTATTCAAGATGGAGGCAAAAGTCATAGAAATGAACCCATCACAGGATGAACCACAGTTGATGAATGAACTGGAGAATGGCTTATGGACCTCTTGCTGAGGACACCAGGAGACAGCAAGATTCACCATGGCCAATGTCACCAACACGAAGGGAAGAATGATACTCAGGCCAGTTACCCACACCAACAAGTTTCACCCACACCCTGTGGCTGTCCCGCTCTTAGTCTCATCGTTTTCAGTGCAGCCTCATTATCCCAGGAATCTATTTGCCTTTCTAGCATACACTGGCACAACTTTCTGCTACCTTTTGCATCTATTAAATGGCAGAAGATATTAAATATAATAAAGCCAAGATTGACAGACAAATGGTCAAGGAATACCTAGATGGAATAAACTTCTGCCTCGACTTTAGTGAAGCTTTTGACATAGTGCCCCATGAAATTCTGATAAGAAAAGTAGCAAAAACTGGACTAGATACCAGGATTAGGTGGATCCAAAATTGGCTGCTAAATCAGACACAGAGTGCTCATCAACAGCACCTTCTCAAACTGGAGAAAGGTAACTAGTAAGGTGCCACAGGGTTTAGTTTTGGACCCTGTGTTCTTCAACATCATTATTAATGATCTAGATGAGGACAAGAAAAGATAATCAGATTTGCAGATGATACCCTAGAAGACAGAATGAAGATCCAGAGCGATCTTGATAAACTTGAACACTGGGTTGAAAGCAACAGGATGAGGTTCAATAAGGACAAGTGCCAAGTCCTCCACTTGGAAAAAGAAACCAAAGGCATCAACAAGATGGGGAATGTGTGGCTCAATGGAACTGAAAAAGATCTTGGAGTAATTGTGGACAATAGGCTAAACATGAGCCCACAATGTGATGCAGCCTCCAAAAGGGCAAATGCTTCCAAATCACAAGAAGTAGTAGTTCCTTTACCAGAAAGATGCAGAGAAATGAGAAAGGGTCCAGCGGAGGGCAACAAAAATGATCCAGTGTTGGGCAACACTGCTCTATGAGGAGACACTGAGAGAACTGGGCATGTTCATCCTTGAGAAGATGGAGGGGGGGGGCATGATATCCCTTTATAAGTATATCAAAGGCTGTCACAAGGAGGAAGGTCAAGGTCTCTTCTTGCTGATGCCAGAGTGTAGGACACAGAATAATCAAGTCAAGCTGTGACAACCCAGATTCAGGCTAGATATCAGGAAAAGTTTCCTCACTATCAGAGCAATGCAGCAGTGGAACCAGCTGCCTTGCGAGGTGGTGGGCTCTTCCACACTGGAGACATTCAAGGTGAAACTGGACAGCCATCGGAGTGGGATGGTGTAACAGCAGGGGGTTGCCCCGATGGCCCCTTCCAACTATGATTCTATGGTTCTATGAAGCCACTGAGCGGCATTCACTGGGAAATTTGCATGGGCACTGGGATGCTCTGATAGAAATAAGAGATGAGGAGCAGTTTTTCCACGACAAAAGTGCTTGTTGAAACCCTTGATACTGGTACCGCATGCAAGGTGTCCCTGTGTAAACACCACATATTGAGGCAGTTTGAATACAGGGTCAAACACACAAGAAGGAGTTCAGTAGCTGAAACGAAATCCTCAAACAGAAGTTGCAAAACTTGTCCCTACTGTTCACATTACAAGCGAAGAGTGGCCGAACCACCTTGAAGCTCACAAAAATACATGGGGAACCTTGAACAACTACCCGACAAGACATTTACCACCCACTTACCACAGAAGCCTCCATGATGCCAACCACCTCTAACATGAATGACAGGTCAAGTCAATTGAACTCAAACCGACTGGGCTTCCCAGCATCAGGCAATCCCTTAACGACCCAGCCCACACGGAGTAATATTACTCAAAATCCGGATCCCCTAGTCACTGTGCTACATTTTGCATCAACCAAGGTCCAGAAAGTGCTATTTTAAGCAGAGGCTGCTCAGCAAGCCAGGGGGTGCCAGCACCAGTTCTGTTCTGACGTGGTTGCACGCACAGGGATCTCAACACTTCTTTGTAAAGCAGTGACTCAGCAAAATAAGGGGGGGGGTGCTCTGGGCCCCCTGTGGATGCAGTCAGTCTCAATTCAAAATAAGCAAGACACAAGTCCCCACCAGAGAGCACTTTCATCACCTATTTAGAGGAAAATGCTCTGGCTTTCGTCCTCCCCAGCAGCTGTGCAGCAAAATGGATACCAGTTTGGAATGCAGGGAGATGAGCATTCCCAAGAGCAAAGCAGTCATAGCTCTGAGTAGTGGGGAGGCTTAAGAATGAAGTCCAGATGGTCAACAGCTCCGTGTCTGCAGATCCACGGAGTTTTCTTGCTGCCAACACGTCAGTGTCTTTGGTTCAATGGAAGCAAGTGTACATTGGTAGATTATGTGCAGAGGAGCTGGAGCCTCTGTTCACACAACCCTGCAAAAGCTGGCACAAGTTTTGGCTAGTGGCTTACTTTTCACAAACAGACCACCCTGGAACCCATGGCTCACTTTAGGGTGGCTGAAACCTATGATGTCTTGCGTTGTCCAAGCTGAGAAGCGCAACTTCACTGTGACTTATTGGAGTGGCAAGAGAAATAGCCTGCTTGAGTGACAAAAACTGAGGTATTGACTGAGGAAATGGGCAGTTCGGCTGGAAAGGTTCTTAAGATACATGCTGGAGCTGTTGGGAGGGGAAGCAAAGCAGGGTCCGCAAGTACACAGCAAAGGCATGGAGGCCCTCTTCTCAGGATGTGCTGAGCCTTCCCAGGAGGCTCCTCTCTCCCCCTCTCTCTGTAAGAACTATAGATTTATGGGTGTTTGTGTGTGTAATCCTATTATGAACCCAAGATTCATTGTCCTGAGTGAAAAGGTGGTTTGTACAGCGCACTGGAAAGCAAAGACCCACAACTTGAAGCAATATTCACACACTTACCATTTGTGTAAGGGTTGACGGTCTTCTTATTTGTCATGACACGGGCTGTTGCGTTATTTACCTAAGCATATAGAAAAGCAAATCAGTCCCACTTCTGCAGGAAAAGGGGTCCAGGATACTAATGAAATGCATGCATTATTATTGGTATTAGTCATGTATAAATGCAATTTAATTTATATCCCAAAATAAAAATTAAAAAACTTAAAAAGGCAGGAGGCGCATAACAAAATCATACTATTTATAATTACGTTTACTCTCATCACCATTTTATAAAACTTACAAATCATTTCAATAAAGTAACATCATCTCCTTTAAACTTTAATAAAGAGACATTAAAAGCAAATTAAAAAGGTTTTGCATAATCGAAGATTTAAGAGCATGCTTTTATTCCATGGTAACACTGAAACAATAAAATATTTAAAAACAGAATTTTCAAAAGAAATTGTATGAAGGAGCATGCAGTGGAGTAGAAAAGGGGTAGAGACACAGTACAGGGGAAAATTAGAGGTCCAAAAGAAAGAAAGAAAGAAAGAAAGAAAGAAAGAAAGAAAGAAAGAAAGACAGACAAATGAATCTTAGCAGTGTGCAACATAACCCTTTCAAAGAGAGGTTCCATTGGAAAAGCAACACGTAGGCATTCAACACTGGGGAACATGAGCCTTGTTTGTTCATTGCAAGAAAACTAACGAAATCATTCAAGCTTTCAAAATCACAGCTAACAAAAGGATAAAAGAGGGTGCATTATTTAACACAATATGGAGTTGACGATCTGAGTAAGATGTGCACAAGAGTCATATCCTCAATCCAGTCAGTGTCTCCAATGCTTGCTTAAAACGGACACTCAATTGACAGGCGTACCGATATATATATATATATATATATAAAAAAAAATAGAGAGAGCATCAAGAAAACTTAATACGACAAGTCAAAAAAATCCACGTGGTATATATCAGCGCTTAAAAAATATACGTGAAACGGCAGATGGACTTCTCCACTTACCATTCAGCACCATCGCCAGCATGGGGTATGTATACAGTTACCATGGTTACTGAGAGTTTGGTGAGGGCCCTAAGCGCTACCGCCGAAGGGGGAAAATGGAAAGGCAAAACATGCAACATCTTACTCAAAAGATGACAGCATTTTCAATTGGTATTTTTTTCTTTCTTTTTCTCTCTTTCTTAAAATTCTAACAAATATGATCCAGGCAGTGTTGGAGGGGATCCAGTGGTATGATAAAAAATGGAGTGGACACAGGTTTAGGGGAATATTTTCAAATATAATTTAAGGGTTTGGACCCACATGGAAAATGGGACTGGGAAGTTGTCCCAAACAAATGTACACATATCGGATTTTTAAGTGTTAAACATCATTCCCATGATTATTTTCATTGAAATTTTCTTTGATTTCTGAATTGAAATAATTGTGAAAGCCACTGTGGATCCTGCATCAACCCTGCACTGAAAAACAAAACAAACAGAAAATTAAAAAAATTGATTTTATTGTTTTGCTTTGTCACTTAAGTTGTTTTCTCCAATTTTTGTTTAAAAATCTATTGCACCCATTGAATTACAAAACCTTTCAGATCACATCAAAATAGTAAAGCCTGCCATACTTCTGTCATACAACTTTCAGCAATAAATATAAGAATTTTAAAAATCAATAGAAATAAAAATTAAAATAATATACCCAAGAAAGCCCAGTTTATCTATATCTATATATAGATATATAGATATACACACACACATACATACATATATACATATATCTGTGCATATATTATATATATATAAATATATATACATATATAAATATATATACATATATATAGATTAAAAACAATGGGAAGGGAAAAGGGAAGCACACAAGAGACACTAATGATGCATCTGAAACAACTAATGAGAGTGAGCCAGACATTTATAAAAAAGATGAAAAGGAAAATATTTTGAACATGCACCTCGATTTTACGGCCCTCTACCACGGTGCCGTGTAATTTCTCCCTCGCCCTTTCCGCATCAGCACTATTTTCGAAAGTAACGAAACCAAATCCCTACATGCAGGTGGGAGAAGGGGGGAAAATAACATGCGTATCATTATTTCAGACAATGACCACTTCTTTGCTTATGTTCTTTGTCTCTTTCTCTCTGTCTCTCCCTCTGTCTCTCCCTCTCTCTTTCTTTTTTTCTTTCTTTCTGTCTCTCTTTAATTTAATATGTTCTTGTCCTTTCTTCATTTCTGTAACATGCAAATTAGAAAAATTATAATTGTACCAAGATATGCAATTAATAAAGCGACCAATGTCAACAACTTTTCTCTCTCATCAGTTAGATAATATCTCCTGGAAAATGTCAAAGAATGAACAACAAATACCTTTTGGGTTTTTTTCTCTAAATTTTCACTACAGAGGAAAAGAAATCTAACAAAAAAAGGAAACAAAACAAAACAAATCCAAATCAATGGAACCATGGCATCACGTTGGAAACAAATTCAAAAGGAAATGGCAAGAAAAGAAAGTGAATCACTGTTTAATGACATGCAGATTTGGCTCAACAGAATGAGAATGCTAAGTACAAACCAAAACGTGTACACAAATCTGAACATCAAATGCGAACCTCAGCTAGAACACTGGCTGGTTCTACATGCCATTGTGGAGCAAAGTAACATTTTTCTTCCACATGCAAACATAGGGTTCTTGATCATTTTGGTGATATCTACCATATTTAATTTGTTTGTCCTTAAAGGAAAACAAAAATGGGAGGAGAAAAGAATTACCAACAAAATGGAATTAGGGTTGGAACTAACCATCCTGGCTTATAAACAACTGAATGCAATTATGTGATATGAATAAATAGAGAACAGAATACAGAAATACACATTTGATCATCATTCCAATAGATCACATTCTCATCGTTCTTCGTTGTACACGCCTCTGGCTCAGGCTAACATTAACTACAGGCCTTGGCACACGTGTTCTACACCCATGCGAGTGCTGGAATTAGTTCTGGATTCATGCACCCTGCGTATCCCCACTCCCACCCGCTGCCCACGTGTCGGAGAGACTCCATGAAAACCACGAACAGCACAACCCAGTATGCTTGCTGTCCACTAGAAATGGCGCAAATGGTTTCTTCATTCTCTCCTCTTCTGTAAGGTGCACACGCATGATAAGGAGATTCCAGACCTTGCTCCCACACCTCGTTGTGTGTTGAATGCATGTGCCAAGGCTGTATATGAGTGGCCCTATGGTCATCAGAAAATCTGTATTAGAATTTGCTTAAAGTGTTACACATTGGGTGCATACAGCTCACAAGTTCCCACTCCTTCCCTTCCTTAACAGCATACAGTAAGTGGCAGGAATCTTATTCAAGCTGGTGAGCTATTCAGCTTCAGCTAATGATGAACTCTGCAATGCCCCCCCCCCCCCGCCCATGGATGTTGGAGCTCGTTAGTTGCCCATAAAGGAAAAATGACTCTCTAGACTCCAGACCTTTTGTACCTTGGGGCAACTCAATTCCATGGAATGCTACATGACTAGGGAAAAGGTCACCAGTATTGGTAGGGTGGCCAGATATCTTTCTTCAGAGAATACCCTTTGATTTGAAGGTGTCCTCTAGTTTCCAGTCCTAGTCTGGCTGCAAGTCAAAGAATCAAGAGAAGGCTGAGCAGAAGTGTAGAAGCTGCCAGCTGTCTTAGCAAGAACACAGCTCAAACTGGTCAGTCTTCTCTGTGGTGGTGAATTGTTTTGCACTTCTGCTGAAATTATAGATTTTATTTCTATGTTTGCAACTATACTTCTACATGTTCCTATGCAAATATTATGCAAATTAGCATCCTCTTATTTTCTCCATTGGGAATATACTAAGGGCTCATTTTGGGGAGGGTGGTTATGCATATCTATCTCACTATTTCATACAGGAGCAAGAACAAGAATACACAGTCTGACTGACACCTACAGTGAGTTTCTCTGTTTCTTGCAAAGGAGGCAGCACAATTGTGTGCTTATTGTTTCTTGAGGTGCAATACGTCATTTAACCCTTACATCAGAAGGGAGCTCAGTCATGCCTGTTGGGAAATGAAGAAGACTCTCTCGGAAGGAAAGACAAGAGTAGAAGCTAGGTCATCTTGGAGAACTGTTCTATCCAAGGAAGGATCCCCCATCCTCAAACAAAAGATGGCCACAGGGATTCTTTCAGATATTTTCACAGTGAAAATGCAGTCAGATGATTATGGATGTGATCCCTGAACCACTTTGGCTTCCTAAGTGCAACAAAAGCTTCACTTTTCCCCAAGAAAAAGTAGGTGGCTACTGTGCTCCTGCCCAGCTAGCCAGGGTGGAACGCTCCTGTTCCTCCCAGCAGGATATGAAGTGCGCAGCTCCTTACTGTGGGAGTCTCAACCCACCACCGATTTTGAACAGGAAATAAGCACCAGCAAACCCCCCTGAGTAAGAGGAGAATTCTCCACTATTTCTTCTATTCTCCATATCCTGCACAAATGAGATAAACTCTCAAGGCCTCTGTGCATACCAAACATACTGGCTTCCAGATTTTGAAAACTGTTTGGGAAGGCAACTTAACAGGATAGCCTTCCTCAGGGCATCTTCTCTCTCTTTTGTCATCATGGGCTATTGCCCCCATGGCTTCTCTTTCCCATCACTCAGCCATGCAGGCCAGTGCAACAGCAATGGGGAGAGGAGCAGCAAGGCCAAGGTAGGGGTGTAAAAAATGTTGCTTCTGCTCATAACACACGAATGCCTGCCTCGATCGCAACCCTGAACGTGTGCAGATTGCCAAACGTGCTTCCATTCAATCTGGGTAACTTTCACTCTGCGGTCAGCACAAATGTCCCAGTTGGAATGGATGCCTAATCAGCAGCACTTGAGTCTGCAGGGTCTTAATTCATGGGACTTAATTTGTGGGAATGTGCAGAAATTAGTGGGGGCGGGCGGGCAGGCTGTGCCTCTTTCACGTAGGATCACAGCTCATTTTGCACAAGGTCCCTGTCTGTGGAAATGAATGGCAATCGTGAGTGTGAATGCGAATCAGGCCTGCGGCCAGTGATGAGACTGTGCTCAAAGAATCTGGACAAGCTCAAATGTCACTTGCACAACCTGGTCCAAGGACCCCTCATTACAGGGCCACCGAAGAGAGTGGACCTTCGCTGCTACCAGGCCAGACCTCCCCCTGCTGCAAAGAATGAAGAGTGAATTGGGGCTGACTATAAGTAAAGTCTGACTATAAGTAAAGCCAGGCCCACCAGCCAGGGAGAGCAAGCCTCCTGAAGAAGACGTTCATGCTAGGGAAAGTCAAAGGCAGAAGAAGAAAGGAAGATCGATCGATGGATCAACTGCACAAAGGGAGTCGCAGCCTTGGCTTTAGAAGAGCTGAGCAGGGCTGTCACAGGTAGGAAAGGGTTTTGGAGAGCTTTCCCCATCAGTTCAAGATGACGTGATGACACATCACAACAACATAGCCAAGCCACATTTTGTGAATAACCAACTTTTGCAGAGCATTAAGGGCAGTGCATGGAAAGGGAAGCCAGCCCCTAGATGGGAAATACAACAGAAGATCCGGCTGCAGGAACCACTTATGAATGGTGCCTGATGAAGTGCATGGATTTCCTCAGGTGTTCAGTAACAGGGCAAAATGTATCATGAGGCAGGACTCAAGCATGGCAGAAGGGAAAAGGACCCTGAGGCTGCAGAAGTGGGGAAGGCCTGGCTTGCAGCCCCCTTACCATGAGGACTGGAAATCTGGGCTTCGCGGGAGGATGTTTCTGCAAAAGTCACGCTGTATTCTTGCCTCTGCTGTGGGGGAAACTGAGGCTCTAGTGCAAAATGTATGTGCGAAATGCTGTTTTTTTTCTGCACTACATGTCCAGAACAGACCTTGTGATCTTTACATGAGCCTATTGGAAATGCTGCTGGAGTAGGAGGAGGAAGCTGCAGCTGGGAGAGAATTCTGAGACCCAGTGTTAGAGAAAGAGGGAGAGGGAAAGGGGTGCGTCCTCCTATTTAGAATAATTCCTCCAGAGCTTCATGTTTAGGTGTTATTACTTCCTGCTAGCATTTCCTCTGCAGAGGCAAGAAGAATCAGTCCTGCGCTGAACAAATCCTCTAAAGACCAGGCAGAGCTACAAACATCCAGTGGAGGGGCAAAAGAAAGATCAGCTGGGGGGTACTGACAACTCTATGAGACGACAGGAGTGGCTTTTTTAATCACTCCCCTTTCCTGTGTTATGCAAGCAAAACAGAGCACATATTAATCACTTTTCTACCCAACAGGGTTCCTATTTTATGCAAAGACACAACTACAAGGGCTTGTGGGGGTCAGCCATCGGACACGTAGGAATCCACCTGGGAATGGTGCTGGATCAACATGAAACTCTCCGCTGGAGCATGTGGCTCTGCTTTCACGGTGCAGGGCAGCTGGCCAGCTGAGCCCCACTTGGAGAAGCTGCCTTACTTGTTTGAAGTTGAAAGGTGGGATAGAAAACACCTGTTGCCACTTGTATGAAGGTAAGTATTCCTGCCTGAGTGCCGTATGCTTTTCATGCCTTTCCCATAAGTCTCCAGTATATCTCCTATCCCATCCAGAGGGACAAAGATCACAGGAAGTCAAGGAGGGAGACTGCCAGGTGTGGCATAAGAGACATTGTGCTCCTGGGGACGAAAGGAGACAAGACCACTGGATTTATGTGGGAGTGAATGAGTTAGGCTTCTGGTCCCCACAGGTCTTATAGCCAGTGGTTTTCAGCCTTTATACAGCTGGAGACTGGCAAAAACAGGAAAAAAAATTTGGGGGGAAAACTGCTGAGGAAAAATTAAAAAACATTATATACATAATATAGTATTGTGTGTACTAGTTTTTAAATACAATACCAAAAATAATTCTCTAAAAAAAAAGAAACCAAGCAGTAAAATGCTAATAAAACAATAAAATATTGAAATCAAATGTAATCGAATACAACTAAAATTGGAGCAATATTTAATTCAAATCAGGTGAATGTGAAACCTCATGTTGCTTCTTTTCAAGAGTACCTGATATTCAT